AATGAGTGGAGGGATGAATAAATAATTATGTCTTTGCCAAAAGAACACATGGAGTTAGATTACTACCTATCTTGCGTTATACTCAGAAATGTAGATGTTCAGAAATCTGGCCTGCTAAGCATAAGATGCTTCAGGAAATTTTTCTGAGCTGTCCAAGTTACATATGCTGATGTGCCATCTCTGCCAGAGTCCCTTTGTTTGAGAAGAAAATGACTGAAAGTGGATATATTCCACAGGGACCCTTGTCTTCAGGTCCTACTCATACAGACTGGCAGAACATTCTTTTTGTGTTCTAGGATCAGATAATAAGAGTATTGCATTTCAAACAGTGAACTGAGCTCTGTCAAATCTTTTTTTTTCCCGCCTGGTTGGAATAATTTTATACATAAGTAATTTATTCTAATAATGTAATATAATTCTGTCCAGTTCTCTTATTTTTCTTCTCTTTATTACTTTTCGGAGAAATGAAGAAGAAACACTGTGTAAGGATAACCAAAGGGACTCCCTTTCTAGGGAATTGCCTCAGGATTGCTTTGACCACACTGCTGACTTGGTGCAGTGTCCAGGGACACGGTGGCACTTACCCACTGCGATTCCTCCTGCCCAGCCTTGGGATGGTATTAGTTTCCCACTCCTGCCATAACAAGTCACCATGACGTAGTGCATAAACATAATACAAATCCACTACCTTACAGTTTGGGAAGCCAGAATCTGAAAATGGGCTACAATCAAGGCGTCAGCAGAGCTGTGTTCCTTTTGGAGACTTCAAGGGGAAACCCATTTTCTGGCCCTTTCTAGCTCTTACCAGCACCTGCATTCCTCAGCTGTGGCCCCTTCTAGCATCACCCCAACAACCTCTGCTTCCCCACATCACCTTCCTGTGCTCCTGGCACTCTTCCCTCCCTCTTTTAAGGACCCTTATGATTACATTGGGCCTACCCAATAATCCAGGACAATCTTTCCCATCTCAATTCCTTCACTTAGTCAACGTTTGCAAAATCCCTTAGTCACATTTGCAAGGGTCCAGGAACAAGGACATCATCTGTCTACCTCAGGGCCAAATGGACACTCAGTGTTGCGGGGCCTAGTGAATAAACACGGGCATCCCACTTGTGGGCAGTCAGAAGAGGGCTCTTTCTCCAGGCCCCACTCTGTGCAAAATCACCAGGACCTCCCTCAATTATTGTGCCCTCCTCTTGACTTTGAACAGAAAATTGGACTTCTGTCTGTAAGGGTTTGTGGTTGACTTTATCCCCTGAATTTAATAAATTTAATATGGACACATATTAAACTGTTTTTACATAGTTACAACCTTTAATCAAATAATGAGATTTTTTTGGAAAGCATAACTCTTATATTCTGGACTCCTAATGTGTAAAATATTGGTTTTTCTACTGTTAGTTAAGAAATTCAGGTGGATTGGAGCCCCTCATAGAGCTCCTGCGCTCCAAGAATGATGAAGTCAGAAGGCATGCCAGCTGGGCCGTGATGGTCTGTGCCAGCGACGAGCTGATGGCCGCTGAATTGTGCAGGCTCGGGTGAGTGGAACTATCTCGGGTTTCTAGCTCAGACGAAGAGCAGAAATGTAGAAGCACACTTTTCAGGCCAAAGGAAGGTCAAGCAGAGTCTACACTCCCCCTCTCCGGTCTGCAGAGCGCTCAAGGGTGCTGCCTGTCACGGCAAGGGCCTGACCTCTGAAGGGACTGCCTGGTGGAAGCCAGGTCCTTCCCTTATCCTCTCTACCTTTATAAAATCATCTCCAACATTTCATTTTCCAGTTTTCCATCCTGAGAAATGCTTTTTTCATTTTCTCAATTACTGTAACACAATCCTACTTGTCCCTCAACTTTCTAAAATGAAATGAGCGCTGACGACCATCTCCATTCTGCTCCCTCCCCGACCCAAATCTTTTCATCAGAATTCCGCATTCAGCCAGCCTCACCTAATCGGTTCCCTTACCAACAGCGGCTGAGTTCCTTGCCTTTAGCATATCAGCAAATAGGATTTTTAGGTTTCACAGACAGGTTTGCCCTATTTCTAAACATTCTTATTCTTTGTATATATTGCCCGCTTAGCTCCAAAAGTCGAAATTAAATACTAATTTTGCTTTAAACAAAGAACCTTTTTCTCCCTGAAAGTGTGCTTTTCAACTATTTGAATATGAGTTACTACAGAAAGGAGTGATTTGTCTTGATAACTGTGAGTATTACTTTATCTAAAAGGGTAGGATGGCTTTACCTTTCCTTCTCATTCAGGATCTTAGCTAGGTAGATAAACGAGAACTTAATGTTGGATGGCTTACATAAAGCAAATACTGCCTTTTGCTTTTATCGACAGGGCTTTAGATATCCTTGAAGAAATTAATCTATCAGTAAGTCGAAAAAATAAATTCAGTGAGGCAGCTTATAACAAATTGCTCAACAACAACCTGTCTCTGAAATACAGCCAGACGGGCTACCTGTCATCAAGTAACATCATTAGCGACGGCTTCTATGACTATGGCCGGGTAAGTCCTAGTTTGTAGTTTAGTGTGTATGATAAGAATTTTTTCCTTTATCATTATGCCATTGCATTGCAACTTCATAATTCAGCCTACCATAGTTTATATTTTGTGGACAGAAACTCGGGAATCAGAACTTCATCCTTAACTTTGTCTGGCTATAAGATTTTGCATATGTATATACTTTTAACTGGACTCTGATTACTTGCACTTAAATCAGCTTGCTATGCTAGTTCTAGATTCAGAGAGGATGTGAAAAAGCAGTACTTTCAGCTCTGTTACTTCCAGGGCTCAGTGTTAGTGATAAGGACAGAAGTATGTGTTTTTCCTTTTATTATAGTCTAATTGAAATTAATCAGATTGTAATACTGGATTTAAAAATGTAATGTAGAAGACTATTGTTTTACTTACCTGCATTTCTGATTATGATTTTTAAAACAATGTACAGTGCAATTCAGTGTTAATGTTGAGAGAAATGGGAAGCTAAAAATTAGCATCTTGGGGACTTTTCGACATTGCTGCTTAAGCCAGTGTTTTCTACTACTTCTGGGAACCAAAAGCAAAAGCAATAAGAAGAATAGGGAAACGTTTTAAACCCACAGACTCCATTTTAGGCAAAACTAGGAAACAGGTATGATCCGCAAACTTCAAAAATTTCAAGAGTTACCAAGAGTCCCTGAAATCAGACAGAAGCTGTTCAAAAGGAACAATGAAAAGGGGAAGAAAAAAGCACAAGAGAGTCAGGGGTGGCAGACCTCAGAAAATACCATAGAAACGATTTACTTCCTGAGGTGATGGGGGAACTCAGAAGTACAAACTCGGAACTCTCTGCTCCAGGTGGTGCGGACCTCGGGAGCTGGGGTGAGCAAGGCTGGCGGCAGGAGCCCAGTTGGCCGATTTGGTTCAAAGAAGCAGAGGAGACAGGGCCATAACAAACATCACATAGCTAAGTCGTATTTGCAGGAAACACTCAATCATGGTAACAGAATTAAAGCTGTTTTGAATAATGAGGACAGCTAGCCTAAAACTTTAGCTCTTCCTTCTGCTTCCCCTGACCAACATCACCCCCACAACACAGGCACAAACCCCCATAACGCATGTACACACCACTGAGAAGTCACTGCTCCAAGAAAGCCCATCTCACTGATGATTAATTTTTTACAAGTTGGCACAACATTAGTACAAAGATGCTTTAAGAAGGGAATGAGGGAAAAGAGTAGAAAAACCATCAAAGAACATATCAGAAAAATGTTGCCATGGATCAGAAAATAGTGACAAAATGTATTTGTTCATGAGTTTTAAAAAAAGTTAAAGAGACAATATCCTTTATAAAGGAGAATTTTCTGATTCATTCAGTAAATATTAAGTTTCTAGTATTGTAGGCTTTGAATATGTCAGTGAACAAGAGACAAAGGTCTCCCATAGCACCAGGGGGAAGAGGCAGACAATAAACAATAAACATCACAGCTAAATACATTACATCACATGATTGAAATAATAGCTATGGGGGAGAGGTAAGTAGAGCAGAGTCAGGATAAGGGGGCTCTGTAGTGGTGGGGAATACTGGGGTTGATTGTTGTAATTTTCAAAACTGTGGTCAAGGAGGCCTCACTGAGAGGCAATACCTGAGCAAAAACTTGAAGAAGGTGTGGGCCTTAGCCATGGGGATATCTGGGGGAAGAGCTTCCTAGGCAGAGGAAACTAGTGCAGAGGCCATTAAGTGTAAACATACTTGGCATATTTAAGAAACAGCAAAGTCAATGTAGCTAGAGCTGAGGGAACCAAGGACAGAATGGTGATTAAATCAGAGAGGTAAAGAGAGGCCAGATCATCTAAGTCTTATAGACCATCCGAAGGATTTTAGCCTTTACTCTAAATGAAGTAGGAAACCTTGGCAGGAGAATGACATGATCCATCTTATTTTAAAAGGATCATGAAAAGTATCTTGGATGAGAGAGGAATCTAACCAGAATGTGATTGGAAAAAAATACCTTAGAAGGTGACCTGGGCTAACCATCTTCACCAGACTGATAAAATTGTTAGTGCAGAGCTTTGTCTAGCCTATTTTCAGATAACCTTACAACTTTTTTGTAATCTGTTCAGTAACTAGTTACTCTTTCAGACAATTAAGGTCTCCCTTGTATTTATAGAAGGATTTGTAAACTCAAATACTTTCAGGGCCAAATTATATGATAATTATGGTGTGAAACAGCTGAGAATAAAGCAATAGAGACTGTGGGAACTGGAGAGATACATCCTGCCCAAAGGCAAGATGTCCACAACTCCAGGTTCCTATTTCTAATTGTGTGTGTGCCTCTGTGTCTGTGTGAAATCAGACACCTCAAACAGTTGAGAACATATAGTATCAGCACTCATATTAAAAAATATAATCCATGCCAATATTACTTTTCAATCTTTAAATTATCCGCAGATAAATCCTGGCACCAAACTTTGGCCTTTGAAGGATCTCTGCTTACAAGAACCAAATGATCTACGTACTATACTCTTGGTTAACAATAGATCTGATGTGTGAGTCTATGGGGAAGCAGTGGTTTGGGGAAGCACTTACTTTTTTTGCTTGTCCATCATCATGAGAATATGTAAAGGTTCCCAGTATGGTATCTTTTCTGTCCCTTGTATATCAAGCACCACCATGAAAATAAAACACTGATCCATAAACTCATAGCCTGACATAGTAAAGTCCATGGAATACCACCATGGTTTTTCCTTTGACTCCATGTTACCAGTCAATTCCATATATATTTCAGCAGTCAGGGCTTCTTACTTTTCTGGTAACGTGAAGTAATTGAAGAAAGTATAATTAGGAGCAAACCAAAATGAATGATGTTTACAACTCTCCACAACTGAATGCAGGCGTCCAAATACTGCACAATGTGTATATATATATATAATAATGTTTTATATATATGTAAAATAACTACTGCACAATGCTTCACATATATATATATAAAATAGGAGAGTTAGAAACTAAAGCATCATTCTTCTTTAAATAGTTGCATATATCTATATAATACATTTTATGTGACACATTTTATAAAAATATTTCCTATTCTAGCTCATGGAAAGCTTTATAATATTTCTTGTCTTATCTTAACTTCTTCTTTATGCTCTTATTTTTTATTTTTAAAAATTTATCTTTATTGTTGAATGCACTACAAGTGTCCTATTTTCCCCCCCCAGTTGACTCCCTCCACCTCGTTCCTACCCCCTCCCCAGGCCTTTACCCTGTCATTGTCTGTGTCCATGGGTTATGCACATATGCATATAACTTCTTTGGTCTATCTCCTCCCACCCTCCACCCCCCTTCCCTATTCCCTCTGAAATATGATCATCTGTTGCATGCATCAATGTCTCTGGTACCACTTAGTTTGTCAGATTCTTTTGTTCATTAGCTTCTTCTTAAAGAAGACCCTTCAACATTTCCTGTAGTGCTGGTCTGGTGGTGATCAACTCCTTTGGTTTCTCCTTGTCTGAGAAGCTCTTTATCTGACCTTCAATTCTAAATGATAGCTTTGCTGGGTAGAGTAATCTTGGTTGTAGGTTCTTGCTTTTCATCACTTTGAATATTTCTTGCCAGTCCCTTCTGGCCTGCAAGGTTTCTGTTGAGAAATCAGCTGACAGTCGTATGGGTGCTCCCTTGTAGGTAACTAACTGCTTTTCTCTTGGTGCTTTTAAGATTCTCTCTTTGTCT